TTTGTTGCACAGGAGTTCGTCAATCATTTGGTATTCGCGTCACGGATTTTCAAGCGTGCATATGACATACTCGTAAAATTTAACTTCAACCGTTCAACATCTATAATCTGTTCAAACTGCGGTTGAAAGACGTATGAAATGACAAAGTGATGAATGAAAGGCCTAGGGGTTCACAGTCAAATAGGTGTGAAGATCTTCGATTACATTTTGATGCATACACTTTTATTTTTTAACGAACGCAATGATTTCTATCACTTTCTATTCATTCAATGAAATTATCATGAAACACCCCATTTACCTAGTCAATGAATACAAACTATTTTTGAAAGAACCGAATTCTAAATTTGAATCACAATTATTGTGTAATTAAATAGTTCCCCTTGTTTCGCTTCCAATGATTCATATGCAACGATAGAGTGTTTAACCACATAATAACATTTGAGTTGATTCATAAGAATGGAGTAGAAGCTAAATATGTATAATTATTGAGGTTTCCAAGAAGAACCAAAGATTAAAGTCACCGTTGTGAAACTTTGTCTAGCCAAGCACTGCATCTTTCTACCGCTCGGTCACATGTGTGACATGATACACATCTCAGCATCAAGTTTAGTGCACAACAACATTTCAAACAATTTGTCACCGAAGACCGAAGAAGCTAAATGTAGATAAAACTAATCCTGCCACAAATCCAATTATTTCTTCTTCTTCATTCTGACATCGAGCTCAGCCAGGAACTGACGCAATACTCGAAAATCAAATACAACCGAATTGACTACGAATTTTACAAACAATGTGCCATCTAAATATAAACACAAAATTATGTGATAAATTCATAAGGGATGAAAAGCGTACAATTAATACAATCGAATATTCAATTTATATTTTATTTTAGTTTTAGCATTTTGACACAAGTAAAAAAATCAATGTTTTCTCCAAAAATCGGAAAAATTGATTTTGCATCAAATTCAAACATTTTAAAGACAAGTTTTTGGTGTACCCGTTTTCTACGAGACAATGAAATGCCAATTCTTTACCTTAAGGAACGTGTTTTTTTGAGTTATGCAAACTCTAGAGGCTCTATTCTTTTAAAAAAAGGAAACAATCACTTCAGATTTAAGATAGAATTGAAATGAAATAGATTCTTTTGAAAAAGTCCATGTCGAAATGATTTGTATCTTTTAAGCCGGTCTAAATGTTATGAAAATCTTTTGTTTAATCTGTCAATTCGGATTTTGATAATGAGAGTGCGACAATCGCATTAAAATCTGAATCGCACAAGAAGTAAAAATATATAGAGAAAACCAAAGTCATTTACTTATCTTTGGGTTTTGCTTATGCTTTGCATCCGACGTCAAAGGAAGAAGAAAAAAAATAATAATCGAGGGGTACAAAAAAATACATCGAAGGATTTTTTCTTTCGTCAGTTGAGCGACAGTTGAAATACAATGCCGTCGCATATAATCGTTATCATTGCGGATAAATCGCATTAAATTGCTTTAGACTAGGAGCTAGTAGCGAGAACGCCACGCCACGCCACATCGATTTCGTATTACAAAAGCACTCTCAGCTAAATCCACACCAAACGAAAATAAAAGAAAGATAGAAATGGTAAAGTTTATTTTGGGCGTATTCTTTGCAACACAATCACTTGCCAAATGATAACGGATGTATGATAAAGAAGAAAAATGTAATTAGACGATCAGAGTTTTTGTCGAACTCTGTTCGTTTAATAAACAACGATAGAAAATGTTACTCCATTGTTCTCGAATTAGGTTCGATTTTTTTTTCAGCATCTAAAAATAAATTGGCTTAAGTGGGGAGTTGGTTTTACACAGTAATTTTTTTATATCGAATTGAAAAAAGAAGCTTTTTTCAGTGGATTTAAATCGCTCTTACGTGCAATTTTTTTTCTTCGTTATTAGTCATCGTTTTATTAATTTTATTCTGTTTAACGACCGTTTATAGAAAATTTATGCAAAGCTACTGCACACAAAAAAAAACGTCTGAGCTAAACGAAATGAATGCTGGTGAAGTCGAAAATCATTTGTTCGCTGCTTTGCAGAATCGGAGCGTGTTCTTTGTGCATTGTGTCCAAAAATGCTGTTCAGTCTTATAATACGAACGATATTCAAAAGTTTGATGCTATGACAAGCAAAAGATTCATAACATACAACAGCCCATCTTTTGCAAGCAACGAGAAAAAGTCTAACCATTTCTTCTTCGCAAATGACATGACTCAGATGTTTGTAATTAATAATGTGGGCATTATTTCGACTATTGTTAAGCCGAGCGAAAAACCGAATAAGAAGACAGTGGCACGTTTTCCATATTCAATTCAATGGATTTTACCCAGCAAACTCGACAGTTGGACGGGAAAAACATAAAACAGAACGGAAATATCATACAATCGGAGATGAAGGAAAATTATATTTTCCATGTTCAGTAGTGTGTGTACTGTGTGCTTGGTGTATTTGCAGTGATGCGAAAAGAACCACTGACAAATGAATAAAGAGGAAAACTCGACACATTTCACAAATATAAGAATAGTTTCTGGTTAGGCACTTCGATTAAATTGGCGCCGAAATATCGACGTGAATCTCTACGCATTCAACTAAGTTTGTAGTATGCTCTTCATTTATTGGCTACAACAATCTATAGACCGAACAATTCGATACCAAATGAGTTTTGATGTATGTTAGTTTCTGCTCATGCATATTTTCTTCAGTACATTATTCGTTTCAAAACTGCAGAAGATTTCAATTTTCAACTTACTTGTCTTATTTTCGTTCAAGAAATCCACTTTATAAATCCAAAAAATGCAGTGTCTTAACGGTTGCTACACGTGTGAGTTTTTTTTCGGTAGTTACAGTTTTTCGTTTCTCGTCCTTGATGCCACTCTGTTGAAGTATACTCATCAGGATGTGATTTCCTTCTTTTTTTTCATTCACAAGTTCGTCCCTTTTAAATTTTCACATTTACAATGACTTGTTAAACATTTATTCATGCACTTTGAGAATGTTTCTTTTTTCTTTAAACTTTTGTTCGAAAACGTATTTTTCAGTTTAAAATATAGTCGAGATTTAGTTCCAAACTGGTTGATCTCGCAATCAATAATTAACGAGCGAATAAATGTTTCTTAGTCACTTTGAAAGAAGAAGAGCACACAACAAGAATCGAAAAAAAAGTGTGCAGAATATAATGGACAGAAAAACGTTAGTTCAAGGAGAAAAAAAATCACAAGCACTTTTGAACAATAATTTTTTTTACGTAGTTTATTCGGCAGCAAACGAGCGATGGGACTTAATTTAAAAAGCGTTTGCGTGGGCACCGCCGAAAGTACAATAGAGTCGAATAATCATACCACAAATAAAAGAAAATTCTCGTATACGCATCACATTACAATATCTTATCGATACTGCCATTTCGGTTGGAATACACAAATACGCACGAACATTTCTTTTCTAACGGTTTTTTCTCTAGTTGTCGCCATTTCCACGCCAATGAAACTTATTTATGGATGACACTGAGTTGAACATTATCAATGGTAGAGTCGTTGCGATGATGATACTCGTTCATTCAACTGAAATGGAAACGTGGACTTTTTCTCGATTTTTTTTAAATGTAGATTTTTGTTATTCTGCAAAGCCCTTCGAAAGCTATTACATAAAATTCACAACAAAAAAGAAACTGAATAGAAAAGAAAATAACTAAAAAGGCGATACAATAGTTTGCGCCGTATCGACGATTTTTCAAGTTCTATTTGCCTGGCTTTCGAGTGTCGCTATCACTCTGTTTTTTTATCTATTTTTCAATTGCTTCAATCTCAAGTCAAATTTAATTGAACATTTTTCCAGATTATCTATTCACTTGCGCATTTTGAGTAAATGAATCGTTTGCCCACAGCCAGTTAAATGTCTTTTAAAAGACTCTGCCAAAGGGCAGAGATGTTAATCGAGGGCTTATGCTTGCTGACTTGTCTTGGCAAAGTCTCGTTTTATTCAATTTTTGGATTATATTCTAAATAGACGTTAGCGTGTCTGTAATACCTTGAGTAAAAGTTTGATAAAATGACATTCCTTATTCTTCTCCGTTTCTTTATCAAATTAAAAGATTAAAAAAACGCACACACGAAATAATGAATGATTTATGGCACTTTTCTTCTACACCAACGGAAAATGAATTGAACACTTCTTAATTTCCTTTCCACTTTTCACAATTTGATTTTATAAATCTCAATTTTCATTATCCACTTGGTTTCCTTATTTTCAGTGCTGAACCATTTGCATTTCACTGGCTATTTAGTTCGTTAACATTTACAATTTATTTTATCTGGATTCAAACATAAAATGATCGGAAAAAAACTGACTTTATTCAATTTAAGTTTTTTTTTTCGGACGTAAGTGAAAATTCAAAAAATTTAAATAAAAAATACAAATCTAATAGGAAATTATTTTGCAGAAATCTTAGTTAAAAAATAAAGAAAATACTATTATTGGTTTTGTGAACTGAGATCAGATCGAATGTTCGGGTGTTTCGCAACCGTTCAGTACGAAACTCTCTTTGGCACTGAACAAGCAATCAAAGTTGTTACTTCGATGTTCCTCAACTATCCAGGTTTTGCGCCATCGCATTGCTATGCGTTTTGATAACGCAGTCGAAGAAAAAGCTCCAAAAGCACATCAGACCTTGCGAGGGGTTGAAACTTTACTAAATACTTACACACATTCAAATCAAATAAGTACAACATCAATGATGTAATGTCATAGATGCCAACCACAAATCATGAAATACCATTTGCATTTAAATAAATGTAATTTATTTGTAATTCGTACCTATCAACTAAAATGAATGAATCAAGGAACTAATTGCTTACATTGGAAGACGAAACAGGTAAAAATAGTAAGAAATCTAAAAATAAAAAAGGACAAAAAATCTATAAAAACTAATGAGAGTGCAGTTTCTATTTGACTACAGGGTCGAAAATAAAAATTGACCGAAAAGTTTTAGAAAATCGAAACAGCTATTGTTCATTGATTTTCAATATACCCGTTAATAGAAAATTTCATTCATGATGTAACAATATTGTATTTAATCTAAACATTGATGATGATGGTTCCGGCGAATGTACTACAGTTTTTGACGGTAGTATTTGTTGTACTCGTCTCTGTATTTTAACTGTATTTATGTACCCATTTTGTGCTTTTATGGCGCGTTCAGAGGCAATTTTCGATGGAGCCGAACTGATGCGTCTATTATGTTCAAAACGTTTTGCCTAAAATAAATCGAAAAAAAAACTGACAATTGATACTTTTTTTGTTCAAAGCATGCATACATTCACGTACTTTCTTTGGCAAACTGGTTCGTTCTCTTTTGAATCGTTTTATTGGCGTTGTGAGTAAACCGTTGAATCGATTTCGGTTTTTGAGTGACTTGTAATTATCCACAATGGTATCGACTAACCATTCCATTCCAATTTGTAAATCAGACCGATCAGCAATACTGGATGTGACAATATTGCATGGTGTTCCTAATAAGTTGCATAGTTCATCAATTCGGAAAAAATATGTGATATCAACCACGTCAATTGATTGATCCAAATCCTGTTTATTGGCAACGATGAGTAAGGGTTTTCCTCGGATAAATTTATTGTGCATTAAATTTTGTAAAATTTCCCGCATTTTATCGAATGGCGCTTGCAACGAACAATCAATAACAAATATTATACCAAATGCCTATGGAAAATACAAAAGAATTTTTTAAGTTGAAAAGTCGATGTTTTAGTTAGTCTATTTACATCATTATAATAATGTGGCCATATGTCTCGTACACTATCCGAACCACCAACTTCCGTTAGTTTGATGTGTTGGAATTTCGAATTCACATTGAATACATGCACACCTTTTGTCGGACCGAAATCAATACGTGGCAAAGTGCTCAATGCATGGCCAACCTCCGTTTTACCGGCATTTTCTGTACCAAGTAACAGCACACTAATTGGCCTATTTTAAAATTATTATCAAATATAACAACAAATTTTGCAAATTTAATAAATAATATTACATTACCCAATTGAAGATTTTCTGTGGCAACAATTTCCCATGATGAAAGAAACGAAAAACGCTTTCAAATTCAATAAAAAATGTTTTATCACAGCCATAAGAAAACGTTTGAATTGACCTCCAAAATAAAAACTATTTCTCCGACGAATTCTTCTGATATGACTCACATATTTGATTAGATTTTTTTCGGGAGAATTAACAAAAAGAAAACGAATGATACACGTATATTTTGATATTATGTTGACATTTCATTTTATTTGAAAGAATTTGTCCAAAACAAATTAAAAATGGTTGCCATAGCAACTACAAGAACGGCTACGATAAAATTCTATTTGTCATGGTATTTGAAGCAAACACAACCGATTTATTCAAAGTGTATCTGTGTTAAAGCACAAATAGCGGGGTGGTGCACAATATATACCATATATACACACGAAATCTAATTTTCATTCTCAAGTACTTTTATACGGAATATTTTGATTTTTGATTTCAATTCAATGAACAAAAAAAATGTACAAAGTGTATTTATTTTCATAAATATCAGTAGCGGTAATAAAGACTGATTTTAAAATCGCTCGTGGCGATTGTTACAAATCAATTTTTAATTTTGGCTATTTTTGTTGTTGCAAATCATGTTATCAAGATTAATTATCTTTGAGGCACTGTAAAATCTCATAAATTCTATGGCAGATGGACTTGCATATGGAGATTAAATAACTTGAATCGAATATCATATTTCGTGAACTTTTGAACATTTATTTTGACTAAACAATTACCAGATGATAGTTGGATGCGTTAACAATTGAAAAAAAAATGGCCATAGTCAAAATCTTGCAAATTCAGTGGTAGAATCAAATAGAAATCGAGTTGTTGATTTGAAAGCATTTTCATATGACTAAACTGATTATTCGTGAATGCTTTTTTTTTTCATCAAATTAATTCGAAAACAAATGTATTCTGCATGTATTGTAATTTGATTACGCTCAGTATCGCTCTCAATTTATTTGTCACTTTTTTTTAAATTTATTTATTTATAATAATTTGCACAGCTGATTGTAAGAAAAATGCCACGATAATATAAAAACCATTAATGGAAATAAATGTTAACACATATTGAAAGAAGAGTACGTGTCAGCATTATCATTTGTGTACTTTTAAATAAAAAACACATGGAAAATCGTCTTTAATTTTATATAGATTCTTATCTCGATTTTTTTTCTGATTATGGTCAATATTCGCTCAACGAGTTGTTATTCACTTTTTTAAATAATGTTATTGATAACTACTTGATTGATAACTGTGTTACGCCTCTTCAACTCTTAAAAAACCCCATCTGAAATTTTAATCGAGCTCTGTAATGCAGTATTTGATCTTTTTAATTGCAAGTTCAGTCATTTCGCCGTTAATATGGAAGTATGTGACATATCGGATGCAGTTCCATTCATCTCTAGCCATAACTTTAACAATGATTCCGTTCCCAAATTTGTCTGTGATTCCATCCGATAATTCTTTGCTCGTGACTCTATTCAAACGCTCCACAAAATACTGTGCCGAATATTTTTTCGGCTGTAGAAAATGAATCATACAAATATTCGATTGAACTGTATCTATATCCACTGTAAGGTATGGACTTTTCATGTCATAGATGGCCTGCGCGATTTGCTTGGTATGCTCGTGAACGTCTCCTATTCTTGGCACAATTTGCTAAAAAAATGAATTCAAAACATTTTTTAGAAAAATAATAATGAAAATAAATTGTTTAAATGGTACTCACATTCAAAGCTACCAGACCGGCTGCTGCCAAAATACCAACCTGGCGCATGCCACCGCCCAATGCTTTTCGATAACGACGTGCCATACGAATAAACTCATTGGATCCCATCAAAACCGATCCGACTGGCGCACACAACGATTTACTCAAACAAAATGTGACTGAATCAAAGTCACGAGTGATTCGTGCGACTGGTACATTCAAATATTCAGCCGCATGAAAGATTCGAGCACCATCCATATGCATTTTTATGTTATTATCCTTACAAATTGATGCCAATTCATCAATCCACTCTAAAGGAATCACTTTTCCACCGCAAATATTGTGCGTATTTTCGACAATCGCTAGCGATGTTATTGGTTCATGTGAATCACTGCCACGTATTCTTTTTTGAAATTCATCCAGTGAGTAGGTGCCATCGTCATTATTTGGAATTGTATTCATTGAAACATTTGCAATCGTTGATGCACCGGCTGATGGTACGAACATACATTTATTGAATGATTGAATGCATGAAAAGAAAGTGAATTGTACCTTGTTCATACAAAAATACATGTGATGATTGTCCAACGATTGCTTCAGAACCACGGTATTGACAATGACACATGATCGAGATAAGATTTCCCATTGTTCCACTGCACACAAATAAGCCAGCCTCTTTTTGAAATAGTTCTGCACATTTTTGCTCGAGCTCCTGAATAGTATGTATTACACATTGTTTACTTTGATTTGAATTATAAGAGTTAAGTAAAAAAAAATTATTACTTTACCTGAACGGTGGGATCTTCACCATAAACGTCATCGCCAACTACTGCATTCGCCATTGCCACACGCATTTCGTCCGTTGGCTGACTTAAAGTGTCCGAACGTAGATCGATAATTGTCTCTTTTGGTGTACACATTTTTACTTTTTTGTTGTTTTCAATACTGAAGTGAACCGTATGCTGGCCGAATACCGAATGAAAGTGACGATATAAATGTTTCTTTTAAATAGCGAACAACAAGCGTTATCGGTACTCTTTTGATGTGTGATTATTCAATATGAGATAGTCTAATTGCTTGAATTGACTTAATTCTCAATTACATTTTTATTAAATTGATATCTGTCACTGTTGAACTCCAATCACGGTTCACATTTTATGACGGTAATAAACCGGCATCATGTGTTTATTTACAATTGCACATGAAAAAAAAACTACAATGATATGAATAAATTCACGAGTAAAACTCGTGCAACTCACCGGTAGCGCCATCTATTGATTCGAAATGACATTGCAACAATGCAGCTGTCATATTCATCGCATTAAGGTTAACCATCGTTCAAGTGTCAATTGAAAGCATGTGTATCTTCTGTTTACTGACACATTGAAATCGAAACGTGAAAAATATTTGCGAAATAAATTTGTTTGCAATTCAACCAGTTGAAAATGGGTAAAACACGAAAAAGCTTTAAAAATGAAATCCGAGCACCGGATAAAACCCCGCTAGATGAACAGATTATCTCTGGTAAAGTGATTCGCAGTAAGAACAAAGTTAAAATTCGGCTTCGCGCAGAGGAAGAAGACGTAAGTACACCAAACACAAGTACACATATCTTTTTCAAGTAAATGATGGGTATTTTTGTTCGATTTTTAGTACGTTGATGCCAGATCAACGCAAAAAATTTTGCAAGCGGCCCGAGCACAACAAGCCGAAATTGCGTTGGATTTGAATGGTCCATCGTTGAAAGAATCGCTGCAAAAAACAAAAAACCGACCAAAATTTGGTGGTCGTTTAATGAAAGATGAAGATGATATGTCCGACAATGAAGACCGGCCAGATGTTACAGGCCAAGACTTTTTCGACGATATGCAAATCAACGAAGAAGATGAAAAGGCATTGAAATTATTCCAAAATGAATCTGGAATAAAATCACGTAAATTGGCTGACATAATATCGGAGAAAATAGCCGAAAAACAAACCGAATTGCATACACAACTATCGGATGCGGGCACATTGAAAATTGAAGATCTTGATCCGCGCGTCAAAGAAATGTACGAAGGTGTGCGTGATGTGATGAAACGATATCGCAGCGGAAAAGTGCCAAAAGCCTTCAAAATCATACCAAAACTAAGAAATTGGGAACAAATCTTATATATAACGGAGCCACATAACTGGTCAGCGGCTGCAATGTATCAGGGTACACGTATCTTTAGCTCGGTCTTAGCCCAACACATGGCACAACGATTTTATAATTTGGTACTGCTGCCACGTATTCGTGACGATTTAGCTGAATACAGTCGATTGAATGCACACTTGTACGCTGCGCTGCGTAAGGCTTTATTCAAACCGGCCGCTTTTATGAAAGGTCTCATTTTACCATTGTTAGAATCCGGTGATTGTACACTTCGTGAAGCGATCATTGTTGGCAGTGTCATTGCACGCAATCAAATTCCGATTTTGCATTCGTCGGCATGCTTACTCAAAATTTGCGAAATGGAATACTCGGGCGCTAATTCGATTTTCATTCGCTTTTTTTTGGACAAAAGATACGCATTACCATATCGTGTTATTGACGCCGCCGTTTTTCATTTCATTCGTTTCGAACATGATAAACGTGAAATGCCCGTATTGTGGCATCAAAGTTTACTTACATTTGTTCAACGATACAAGAATGACATCTCATCCGACCAGAAAGAGGCCCTATTCGCCTTACTGCGTAAACAAACTCATTTCAAAGTAACACCAGAGATTAGACGCGAATTACAAGCCGCCCGATGTCGTGATGAAGAGGCTATTGAACCAATTGACAAAGATGCACCTGGAGCGATGGCCGTCGATTTACCTGATGTTAACTTGGACGATGATTACGGAATGTTTTAAAACAAAAAATCCAATTTTGATTTTAAGATATTTTAACATACATACTGAATTATCGGTATATTTTTCTTTCACATATATTTTTTTTTGTTATAACATTTAAATAAATATATCGGTTAATAAACTATCATCCGTGGATACACGGAAAATTAGTCTACAACAAAACAAAAGAATTTTTTTTTCAATTTTCAAATCTATTGGATTTATGACTAATCAAATATTTATATTTTTTGGCTAAAATCTGAAATTTTGCTTTTGCATTAATTACTTTGGCTGCATTTTGTTCTAATCACAAATTGGTTTGAAATATTATAAGGTAAATAAATAACGAAACATCAACAAAACAAAGTAACGATCGATAATGAATGCCATGAAATGAAATGTAAATAAATTTTACTATAAATAAATGAATAAATAAATAATACTGATTAGTTCATTGAAGTCAATGATTTTGTGCATTTTGGAGCTATGCATAAAACGAACGTTATGTTTAGCAGAATATAGTCCTGAAATTGAAGATTCACAGTAAATGGCAAAAAAAAAATGTTTAAGCCCAAACTCTGAGAGTATAATCCCAACTTCCTGTAGACAAAGCTGTTCCATCTGGTGAAACTTGGACGCATGACACCTTGTTCTCATGCCCGTATAATAAACAGACACGCTGCTGTTTTAGTGTGTCCCAAATGTTAACGGTGTAATCATTGTAGCCAGCAAACAATAAACGGCCGCTCACTGAAAAGTCCACGGAGTTTACGCCGAAAATAATGCTGTCCTTTGCGTAACAAGCCACTTCCTTATCAGCACGCATGTCATACAAACGGCACTAATTATAAAAAGAAATCAACCGTTTCTTGAGATTTTGTTCACATGGAAAGGGGTTTATTTTGAAATTTTTCATTCTTACCGTGCTATCATCAGATCCAGTTGAGATGGCATCACCACTTGGATGAAATTTGACACTGTTCACATCAGATTGATGGCCCTCAAACGATTGTACAACCGATCCAGACCGCATATCCCAAATGAATGCCATTTTATCGCAACTCTGAAAAATGTATACATTATATCCACATCGTTCTTCCACCTCTCAATTTAATTTCGCTTTCAAAAAGTCAAAAAATTACATACTCCAGATACGAATGTATTTCCAGTTTCATTTGGTGCCAAATCAATGGACATCACATCGCCAGTATGACCGTGAAAACTTTGCAATAACTGACCAGACTCAACGTCCCACAGTGCACACGTTGAATCACCGCTGCCGGTGAGAATTTGTTGATCCGAATTTGGAAAAATACAGCAAGACGTATAGCTGGTATGCGTACCAACTGTTTTCTTTTTTGATTGCATTTCATCATCGGAATTCACGGGATACACTGTGACCTTGTTATCAAGTCCACCGCATGCAATCAAATTGCCAGATGGTGCGTATGCACAGGCCATCACCCATGTTGTTGGCATCGTAACCGAATGTTCTCGGCTTGTTGTGAATGCATCCCAAACAATCAATTTACCATCTTGCGATGATGACACAATGTGTCGCTTGTCTGGTGACCAATCTGAACATAGCACTTTTGCCTGATGTCCTTTCAGCACACGTCGTGGCTTGATATTTATGAATGTTATCATTTCCAAGCGTTCGGCTACGGATGACACTGGTGAAAAAAATCAGACAATGAAATTAAATTCATTTTTGAAAAAATCACCAAGTGCTACTGTTGTGACACAGATTCTTATGCTTACATGAGACATCGTTTAGCTTTTGTCGCTCTTCTTCCAATTTTATTTTTAAATTTTCGGCTTCTTTGGTTAATGCCGCAATTTTGTCATTATTTGACTGATTTGAAGTGTCCGTCATTTTTATTATTGTCGCTTACAAATTAATTTTCTATCGCACCAAATTAGTTCAATTACAATATTTTGACAAGATCTTTCTCACACTGATTTATCCGTCGCAATTGGAAAAATCAATAAAAACAAACGGGACAGAAATCAACAACGATGGCAACACATATCACTGTTTGTGATATACGTTTGGAAATTTCAACCACACATACAATCGAATATTTGCAAAATTTATTTTTTATTTTCGAGAAAAAAATATTTAATCGCTTTTCATCGTTTAATTCGTTTTAATCTTTTTCAAATTACCTCTCATGGCAATATTAAGAGTATATTTTAGATGTACGGTAACAATCATTTTGCCAATAGGGAGCTATTTATGATGATGTTATAGCGGAATGGTATAAACTTATATATATATAAAATTGACATTCAAAATCAAAACAATAAATAAAGCAACATCTGTTCCGTCAATTTTGTAGCAGACCAATTGCCCTTTATTCCAAATTATAACAATTTTTAAAAAAGCCAGTAAAGAAAAGCTAAAAAAAAAATCTCTTTCATAAAAAAAGTTTTAAAATTTGAATCGAATCTGATTAAAAATATATTTCATCTCGAATTTTTACTTAAAATTCATTCATTTTTCAAGACAATTTGTTTTTATTTATTTTCTCAAAAAAATGTGTACTTTATTACAAAGAGGCAACGTTGAATGTCCATAGCTTTAAATAAGCTATAATAGTTTTAAAAAAAAACAGTCAATTCGTTTCGATTAAAATTTTCAAGTGTTGTTTTAGTAAATGGCATTTAAATTTGCATAACTGGGCATTATTTGATCTTTTACAACCCAAAATGAGTCGATGATCTGACCGTTTTTATCATCAGAAACTTGTTCAAAGTACAAGTGTGTCTTGTTGAATGCTTTCATTCGAGTATATCCATAATCCTGCGAACGAAAAGCGCTCCATTTTGGTGGGTCTTTAACGAATTTAGCATGTTCCTCCTTGCATCCCGCTGACCCTGTAATTATATGCACCGGTGCTTTTGCATTTTTATATGGTTCTTCGAATGAGCCATTTTTAACTTCAAAATTATAAATTGGCCACAGTCGTTCATATGAATGTTGATGTGCCCAAACGGAAACATCTACACCGTTATCTTGGAACAGATCTTCCAATCCATATAAATGCGTGATTGGCAACCCCTTTCGTACAAGTGTGGTCTCTCCGCGACATGAACCTCTGTCATCATCATTACTGCAATACATTGGACGATGTCCAAAAGTAACGATCCACGGGCGTAATTTACGATTTTCCGGCTTATTTGCTTCACGAAGATCATTCACCAGCCAGTCATACTGATTTGCTAATGCCTTGATGCCATAATTCAAAAAGTAGTATAACTCCGTCGAAATTGCAATAAAATGAACTGGCCCCATATTAAAACTGTAAAACAAGCTCTCTGTTTTTCCCGGCATTTCGAAGCGATTACGATAGTTTGAGAAATTGCTGCAAATAAAATGCATTGATTTATTTCGCTTCAGTCATTTAAATTGATTAACTTACTATTTCTCTTCGTGATTTCCAACGCATACCATATATGGAACGTAAGCAGCAAGTGATTCGATTTGTCTCATATATTGATCGCCGACGCGTGCATTTTCCGAATCCATATCGTAGGCAAAGTCTCCAACATGAAAAATTGCATCATACATATGCTGTTGCGATTCCAACTGAAGACGAGCCAGAGATTGAGCATTTTCATTGCCCATATCGCCGAAAATAGCCAAATGTGGTGCCCAATTATTTTCATCTGCTGGAGGTGTTTCAAACCAAAATTGATCGGACCAGCCTAATTCACTACCACAATTGTACACATAATGCGAATCTGGTTTCAAGTTCGCCAATTTGACCTTTGAAAGAATAATAAATAAATTTTTGATTAAAAAAAATATTGATAAACAATCCATATAATTCAAATCGAATGTGACGACAGGAGAGTACAAATAATGGTCGAAAACAAACTCTTTTATCTATAAAAAAAACCGTACACACGAACAAAACAAACCTTATGAATATATTGTTGATGTCGTTTTTTGCCCCCATCAACGAAAAGATGTGCGTCACCAACTGCCTTGAATTGTTCACCGTTTAAGGAGTATTTCACTATAGAATCGCTTGTTTCGTCCATTGTAGACCACATAACAACAATTTCACGAACATTTTCTATAAATTTTCAATTCGATTTTTGTTCAGAAATTAAATGATCGACTTTTAGATGCTTTTGTTTGAAAAAATGAAAATACAAACCTCCGAATGCAATATGAACTTGCTCTGGTTGAAAATTATACACTTTCGCTAAATTTGCATTAATTGTTGTTAAAATTAACGAAAATATCAGGAAGAAAAACTTATCCATTTTCTTTATAGAAAAAATTTGAATAAAATTCACGGTCACTCTTTGTAAACGCACTTTGATCATTCAAAGTGCAAACTCGCTATAATGCGATAATGTCTTCGTTTATGTTTTTCTTATTAAATGAATGCATATATAATACATTATCGCATTAATGACAGAACTGTCAAATCGTTCAAATATCGATTGACATCAATTTTCTGTGCATTCAATAACATTTAAACATGCAAATACTTGAAAAATAAATGGTAATGCAAACTTTATCCAGAAAATATTATATTTCTTTTCGAATAATCCGTTAATTTATTCATTGTAAAGATTTCAATAAAAATTGACTTTATACGGAATTTTGTTAATAGGGATTCGGCGCAAATCGAACAACTTCATTGTGATGTGTGTATAAGAGATGTGAATGTCAAAGCCTAAAACAATAAATAGAAAAACACCATTGACCAAAATAGTAACAAAAATTCATAAAAAAAGGACCAGAAATTCTATTTAAAGTACATTTAAATACCTCCACCGGTAAATACAGTTAGATTATTCTATTTCGAACAATATCCAAAACAAAAACGTTCGCAAATAATTTGATAAATTTAATTTTAGCAACAAAAACTCCAGCCATGTCGATGCGTCCAGATGATCACCGTCGAAAGTGGGATCGAAAAGAGTATGAACGTAAGGCACAAGACCGTCTCAAGGCAAAAGATGATGACGGCAAAGATGATGAAGCGCCCGTATTTCGGGAGATGTTAAAACGTCGTGATTATAAAGTCGATTTGGATAGTAAGCTTGGTAAAAGTGTTGTTATCAGTAAAACAACCCCGTCTTCACAGTCAGGCGGCTACTATTGTAATGTATGCGATTGTGTGGTTAAAGATTCGATAAACTTTCTCGACCATATCAATGGAAAGAAACATCAACGCAATTTGGGAATGTCAATGAAAGTGGAACGCTCTTCTTTGGATCAAGTTAAAGAGCGATTTCAACGGAATAAAAAGAAGATGGAGGAGAAGCAAAAAGACTATGATTTGGATGTTAAAGTGCGCGAAGCAAAAGAAGAGGAAGACAGATACAAAGAATATAAAAAAGAAAAGAGAAAAGAACGCAAACGAAAAGCTGACGGTGAACCTGATGGGGATGATGAAACGGCTGGAATGTCGAGTGAAATGGCCGCAATTATGGGTTTCGCTGGTTTTGGCGGAGGAAAGAAAAACAATTAAATTTACATTTTATCGGAACTTTTTTTGGTGTTATCAGGTGTAAGTAATAAAAGAGAAATCGAGACAATTACATATTTTAACATTTTCCGCCGAAAATAATTTTTACAAAACATACTTGATACACATAAATTCTCTTTAATAATAAAGCCTATTTTACCAACACCACCACGATGTTTCAGCAGAAGTTTTCAAAGTTTTACCAACAAAGCACAGATAAAATGGGCTCATGTTTTTGGGAGTGTTTTGACAAAGTTAATGATTTTAATGATAACCGAATTTCACTCTGTACAATTTTCGCCAATGCATATACACACGTACAGATTAATGAGAGTTTTATGAAAATAAAAATATAAAATCAAGAAGTAAATTTTTTATTATTTTTTTTACAAACGTCACATAGATCACTTTTGTTATTTTTGTCAAATTTGCCGCATTTTCAATGGCCATTCAGAGCCTTTTGAATGATCGGCGAAATTTGTTTACGTGAAGCCTTAACATTTTGTTGTTCAAACAGCTGAACTGCCAATAAATCGTTGTGTTTGTCTTGAAGTTGTAAGTATTCTCTATTTTCAATGGTCAATTTTTCAATCACTTTTTTCGTAAGTTCAGATTCTCGAAGTGTCACGATGGCAATGTCTCGTCGTATGCCGCCAGTTGTAAGTTCTTTCATTCCCATCAATACCAAAATGTCACAATTACGTTCATCGCCAAATTGTCGAAGACTTTCCAATACGTTTTCCTTTTGAAGGTAGTCCTAATAACGAAATTCCATTCGGTTTTTTAATATGATCATTTCTACTTGCTAAAACATAATATACCTCTACTAAAATTGGAAAGCCCGGAATAGCGACGATCTTTGATTTATCTACACTTGAAAGCATTTTCATGTCCTTCGATAATAATTGCAGAGCCGTTAATGAGCTGACATCACTGCGTGCTTTCACCAGATCATTGAACAGTTTCAATCGATCGTTGTCATTTTTTCCGAGTTTTGCTTCGACTTCTTTGTTGATTTCAATGTCAAGCGGTCTTGCTTTGTCGGCCGACACGGAGAAATTGATGGTGTCTAGCACAATTGGCCCTCTAAGGAAATTGATTGTATCATCTTGTGCTGCAAAAGAACCTTCAACATTTCGAATTTCATCGGCTATTAAGGTCGCGCATGAACCGACTTCTTGAATTTTTGTCGCATAGTCGCTTAGTATATGCGCATTTTTTGGGTCAACTGGTCGATGATCAAAGATTTTAATGACCCGGTCAATGGCTGGAACTATGCCAGTTGCAATATGGTGATCAACGAGAATGAATTTGGACACATTCAAGAGTTCAGACGACACTTCGTTACTAATGACGAAAAGGTATATGACTGTATAATATCCAAATGTATATTGTAATGTTGGAATGTCTTACCAACAAACTAAGTCATCAATGTCAATGGAATGCTGTTGCATAAAATAGGTTACTTCAGTTTTCAATGGCAGATTTGTTCTATTTATGTTCATCATCGGTAGAAAACGTCGATTACCATCAATCAAAAGATGTTCCGGCAATTTGGTTGTGTTCATGTAAAAGTACGCAAGGCCAACGGCACACACGGCTGAATCCAAATCACAACTTTCATTGCCGACGACAAAAACAACTGGTTCTTTAAATTTAAGCCATTTTCTAGCTTCTTTTACAAACAAACCGATTTTACTCATTTTATTTGGCCAAAATCAAAATCACTCTTGCGATTACAGTTGGTATGCTTATTACATTTATCGGTTTGATTGTGAAAGTGAGTGCAGCGCTGTGAAGTGTCAAAATAATTGCGGTTAAACTGTCATACTTGTGTGAAATGTCAAATCACACTAAAAGCTGACAAGTGAGAGATAAAGAACAACGCAATATTAATACCTTGCTGTGAAAAAATACATTATTCATCACGGAATTGGATTAAAACTCGTTTCTCATGGAAAATTATACCCTTCAACGGGCATTTTCAATTATCGAACCATAAGTTGCGTGTTTTTTTTTTAATTGAAAGAAGTCAAATCGTTTGATTATCTTTCGGTGTGTTTTTGTTTTGTCGTTCAATCGAAGGCTCTAGACGGAAATGTCATTTCGTTTGCTGGGCAACCGACTTTTTCAACATGGTCGGACATTTGTACACAATTATTGCGTCAAGAGAAATATTAACATAAGCATTTTGGACCCGACGAGAAACCATTATTTCACCCGTCAAATTGGCACTGCAGCTAAGGTAATAAATGTAGCACACGGTAGCACATCATAAAAGTTGGTGGCATGTAACATTTTACGCAGTTTGTACCGTTCGACAATTGTTTACGTAATAGACGAAAATAAACGTGATGTTGTCATTATGAACGATATTTTGATTGAAAATACATTTCAAATAAATAACTTTTTGAATTTGTTTTTGGTGTGGATTTAGGTAGGAATCTCAAATTCGAATCAGTGGGCTCTGCGAAACAATACACTTTATCGTTTCGGACAGCATGCTCGACGCCTTTTCGTTGATAATATATTGAACCGAATAACACCGATTTATTCAGCTGATTTACGAAATGAAGCAACAAAAAAGTAATACTTCTTAAATTTGACACGTTCAACTCGAAAATGTAGCCAAATTAATGCGTTGGATTTATTTTTAGGTTTCTTTTTGGTGATTCAGCTCCATTATTCGCATTGATTGGTGTTTGTTTGGCTTCTGGTACGGGAATATTAACAAAAGATGATGAATTGGAAGGTGTTTGCTGGGAAATTCGAGTAAGAATAATTGATTTTCAATTGTGTCTTTGAATTCATTCATATTTATATTTTTTTTGTTTAATTGAAGGAAGCTGTGTCACGTTTACATGACAATTCAAAATTTGGACGGGGAAATATAAAAAATACAAACGAACTCGGATTGGATGATTTAACGATTGGCGCTCCAATTGCAAAGGGTTGTTCGGCTGTTGTTTATGCAGCCGCATTTAAAGACAGCCGAACGGCCAGTCCACTTAAGGTCCCTGAATACGATTCAGATGAGTCAAGTAATCTATCAACCGATACAGACCTGTCACCAATGCGTGATGTGAATCGTTATGTCCATAACTTTGGCTCTAGCTTAGAAAACCCACATTTTCTGCATCGTAATTTGAACACATCACACGTCTCTGAACGCCATGAAGCAAAGCCACATCGAAGAGTTTTATTTAATTCAAAACCAGATGTAAGATATCAAAGCAAACCAAATCAAAGTCGAGACGATGTCAGCAGTGATCAAAACTCACACGATGGTTCTGCGACCGTTTCGTTCAATGATGAGACAAATAACGATATTGAAACATATCCATTGGCATTGAAAATGATGTTTAACTATGATATTCAAAGCAATGCAATGGCCATAGTGCGTGCAATGTATAAAGAAACAATTCCGGCTGTACATAAATATCGCAACTCTGATGCTGAAGGCTGGGAAAAACAATTGATGGAACAAACCGTACAATTGCCAGCCCATCCAAATATTGTTTTTATGGTTGGCGTGTTTTGCGCTCAGGTGCCAAATTTAATGGAATCATCGTCATTATATCCCATGGCGTTACCGACCCGAATAAATCCACATGGTTATGGTCGAAATATGAGCTTATTTTTGCTTATGAAACGATACGAGCACAATTTGTGCGAATATTTAAAATCATCGCGGGAAATTTCAATGCGAACACGACTCTTACTTTTTGCCCAGCTACTCGAGGGTGTTGCACATTTATATCGCCACGGAATCTCACACAGAGACTTGAAAAGTGATAACATTCTTATCGATCTGAATGGTAATGATGTGCATCCAATTTTAGTGCTTTCGGATTTTGGATGTTGTTTGGCTGATAAAAATAATGGTTTAACATTGCCATATACATCGATGGACATCGATAAAGGAGGCAATACCGCACTGATGGCTCCAGAAATTTTAACAAAATCACCGGGTACATTTTCTGTATTGGATTTTTCAAAATCCGATTTATGGGCTTGTGGCGCCATTGCGTACGAAATTTTCGATTCGATAAATCCATTCTATGGCCAATCGTCTGAAAAAACAAATCAACCGATTTTAAAAAGTGCTTCATATCAAGATGATGAACTGCCTTCCATTAACGAAAATGTACCGTTAATCGTTCGCAAATTGATTTCAAACATTTTACATCGGAATCCAAATCAACGTTTAAAACCGGATGTTGCAGCAAATGTGATGCAATTATTTTTATGGGCACCGTCAGCATGGCTGAAGCCAATGGTAACGGTAAACAATGCGGAAATTCTACAATGGCTATTATCGCTAACCACAAAGGTTTTATATGAAGCTCGTCTTGGTGGTATTGTGTCAGCAGAACGCAAACCAAACGATAAATTTGGCATACAAAACATCGAATCGAACCGAACTCATACCGAATATTTGCTTTTGTCTAGCTTCCTGATTCGATCACAACTTCGTCAAATTAGAAGCGCCTTGGAATGGATCCATCAATCAATTGATAATAATTAAGAGAAGAGAAGAAGAAAAAACCGTGAAAACCCACACAAACCAACACAAACACAATACGAAAGTCATTATACACAATATTGATGATAAATATGCGAGAAATTTAAATTGCTGTGAATATTCCTTATTTTTTCTTTGCGAAAGCTAATTTATTGAAAATATTAATCTACATTTTTCGATCGTGATTACGATTTATTGGAAAATTCTGTTTAATTTTAAGGAAATTAAATGTGAGAAAAAAATAGAAAATTAAAAAATGAGTGTTTTATTTAGAGCGACGTGATAGTTGATCAATTAGTGGAATTAGTATGGTCAAGTATGGTCTGGACTGTCAGAATATTTGATTCTTATCGAATAAAACGAAAGTCATCAGTGATAAGTAAAATGAAAGTCATCAGTCATCAGTCATTGTAATACTTTATGAATTCAGTTTGTAACGTACTTTCATTAGTTGTTCGAAGTGCTTTGTCGTCGGTAGTAAATACGCTTCAGCTCAGCAACGAAATATTTTAAAATAAAAATTCGAAAATGTCACCAAAGTCCACATTACACGACGAAATGGGAGTTTTCAATGGATTTTTCTTGGTTTTTGGTTTGTGGCCGACGTGGAACAATCAGAAATATAAAACGCCATTGTTACTTTATTCAATTTTTTCGATTTCATTGGTATTTTTCATATTTGTGTCGGCCATTTTCATAAACGAAGTGCTCGATGACAGTTCCCTCTCAACGGCCATTGCCTATTCTTTTATGTTAAGCATTTTAACAACGCATTTAATAATTGTGGTTCAATCGTTATTTTATCGCAATGCTCAATTCAAGCTGATTCAAAAAATTTCGTATGTTGATCGTCTGTTTAATACCAAACTGCAAATATTCATATCATATCGAAATGAGAAAAAAGAACTGTTCATACGGATGACTCTATTGCTGGCCATTTTTGTTGCGATTAAAGTTGGACTAGTTTTGCACCTATATTCGCAAAATCGACTTGGCAGTTTTTGGTATCATTGCTTTTATTCAATTTGGATAATGCGCTTAAGATGCGTTCAAGTGTTGTTTTTTGTTTATTTACTGCGAACCCGTTTAATTTTGGTGAACGATAAAATCAAGGAAATTTTAGCCGCACGCAATTTACATTCTGGAGATACAACTGAATGGCAACCAATTGTCGATACGAGGAACATTGTATTCGTTATGGATAACTCAAATACAAAGTACTCAACATATGATCGACTATTGAATTTGAAGCAAATTTATGGTGAATTGTATGAAATTTGCGAACTAATCAACATTACATTTGGATGGTCACTGTTGGCCATAACGACTCAGTGTTTTATAGACTTTACGAGTAACAGCTATTGGACCTTTATTGCTTTGGAACAAAATACACCAGATATTGCACAATCCATTGATAACATTAGCTTACTGATTCCCATCATAATTGTTCTTAGTCTACTAGCATATTTCTGCTCATCTTGTTCTCGATACGTAAAAACAATCATAATGACTGTGATGCATTGGATCAAAATAATTTCTTTGACATTTTCAGGCTCGATTCATGGGAAGTTACCTTCATCGTATTACACGAGAAAAAGAAAACGAACCACAAAATGATCTTGTACGCGAATTTTCCTTGCAAGTTATTCATGAACCCATTTCTATTACTGCTAATGGTTTTTTTAACATTGATTTTGACTTGCTCGGATCGGTAAATAAAAATTACATTTTTTTCAATTGGTTCTTTGCTTCCCTAAGTATTTATATTTGTGTTTTTTATTTTATTTTGCAGATGGCCGCGGCAACAATCACTTATTTAGTGAGAAAATACAAATCTGAATATCACAAATCATTTTATGATGATTGACATATGAATGTTTTGATTTCAGGTGATTTTGATTCAGTTTGAACTAAGTGATAAGGAAATACAAAACATGTCTGCAACAAACGGTACAATGTGGTCAACATAATTTGATTGGTCGTGTGATTTTTATCACATATTTTATGCAAATCATTCTACTTTACCAATTACATATGTGGCAACTGGCGTGATAAATGATATCACAAGTTTTTTATATTATTAATAGCACAAGTCTTTTAAAATAGATACTGTCAATAAAAACCATTATTATTATCTGCAACAATAATTTGATTCATTATTCGATTATTAAAATCACTGATTCGCTATGATTTTTTTTTTGACAAATAGCCTCCAGAAAATATGTCAAAATCATTTATCATAACTTACGTTGTTTCCAAATTATTTAAATAATTGCTTCATTTGGCCAACAAACATTCAAACAGTCGAACAGTTTATTTCCAAACGACGAGACAAAATGCAGAGGCCAAAGAAATTGTTTGATATATCAATTAAATATGGGGGATTTATCAAGTTATTCCTGATTTTTGGACTTTGGCCCACCTGGAAAAATTCCAAATGCAAAGTGTTGCTTTGTTTATATTCAATTTGTTGTGTTTTCATTGTAATTTCTATTTTAATGTCGTCAGTTTTTCTGAACAAAGACTCAGCTGGACACACATTGTCGGTGATTGTGGAGTATTCATTTCTGTGTAGCATTTTGTTCACAAATTTGGTCATTATTGTGGAGGCATTCATAAATCGTAATGCACAAATACGTCTTATGCAGAAGTTTTCTTTTGCTGATTGGCTTCTGAGAAAAAAATTGCATTTATCGATATCATATCTTGATGAAAAACGTTCAATATTTATTCGGTTAAGTGTGCTCATTTTTATTTCAATTTCTATAAGAGTCATTCTTACAATACATTTAATCTATCAAAATCGTACGGATAATTTTTGGTATCAGTGCATGCATTCAATTTGGATAATACGTTTACGTACCATACAAATTGTGTTTTTTGTCTTTTTACTCTGCGCTCGATTACGTTTGGTTAAAGAAAAACTAAAGGAAATATTAATATTACAAAGTTTATACGGTGATAATACAAATCATTGGAAATATTTTCGTGATGCGAGTAAAATTTTCATACTTGATGCGTCTTCAAATAATCGATCGCTATACAGTCGGCTATTAAATTTGAAACAAGTATACGGCGAATTGTACGAAATTAGTGAACTAATCAACATGACATTTGGCTGCTCTCTATTAACCATTATTGCTCAAAATTTTATTGACTTTACCGGCAATAGCTATTGGATATTTGTTGCAATGGAAAAATCACATTTCGATCTTGCACGCATTGTCGACTGCACCATTTTGCTCATACCAATTATCGTTATGTTGGGTGTCTTGGTTTACTACTGCTCTTTATGCACACGTCTTGTAAATACTTTCTATTGTTAATATTTAATTTTTGTTTTAATCCAAAATGCAATTCGTGTGGCTTATTTTCAGACACATTTTTTGGGCAGCTATTTACACCGTATTAAACAGGGCAATTTTAAGGATCCGGACAATGATCTTATTATAGAATTTTCACTGCAATTATTGCAAGAGCCCATTTTTATTTCGGCAAATGGATTTTTTCGAATCGATTTCAATTTATTGGGTTCGGTGAGTAACAATTTGTTATTTTATTTTTATTAAAACCGAAAAAATCTAATTTTTTTTCGATTTTTTTTTAAATTTAAACATTCATTTAGTTGGCTGCAGCACAGATAACATACATGGTCATTCTAATTCAATTTGAAATGTCGCACAAAGGAAAATTAATGAGAAAACCCATCGAAGAGAATGCAACTTGGTCGTTCGACTCACAATTGCTTTCTAAATTTGAATCATTGTTCTAAAATTAAGAATCTTGTTGCAAATTAAGTAATTCAATTACTTTTATGTCTACGATCATTTTCTTATAATTTTAGCCGGAAGAATGGAGTAAAATAAACGTATTAGATTTTCACTATTCGCTATGCTTTGCCAATGAGCAATTTCTGGTTGTTTATCTTTATTTGTAATTTATGATTGTTTTTTTTAATTGTCATATTTTTAATCTGATCCTATCTTGCTGATAAAAATTCATTTTATGCAAAAATAATTAGTTTGAAAGTAACAGATAAAAAAGAACTAATTAAATGAATTTTTATTGCATTTTTGTTGGTAAACCAAAAAAGTAAACGAAGTAAATTAATGAAGAAATGTACTCAGAACAAATGAACACTTTGAAAAGGATGGATTTTTTCAAACAAGTGCGTTGCTATATCGTGTTTTTTATTCTTTTTGGTCTTTGGTCGTCATGGAAAAATTTCAAACACAAAAAACTGCTTCGATCGTTTTCAATATTTACAGTATTTCAAGAGGTTCTATCATTTGCATCGGTGATTTATTCGTATGACATATACAAGAAAAATACCCTCTCAGCCAATGTGGAAAACTGGATGTATATCGTTATTTCGTTAACACATTTGGTCATTGTTGTGGAATCATTGGTTAAAAGTAAGACTCAAGTAGAGTTGATCGAAAAATTTGAATTCGTCGATCGACTGTTCAGTGCTAAGCTAAGAGTTGAAATTCCATACAAAACGGAAAAACGTGAAATATTTCTTCGAAGTTTCATTCTATTGTCAATTATAGTCTTTGTAAAAGGTGTAGTCAGCTCATTTTTGCATTATCAGAATAACATTTTCAAGTCATGGTATCCAACAGTATTTTCAATGTGGATCATGTGTCTACGTTCTACTCAAGTAATTATATTCGTCTACATGATTCGCAGCCGATTGAAATTAATCAATATGGAACTGTCGGACATCCAAATTCGAGTGAATAGAAAGAATTTAACATTAACTGGATTAACCAACATCAATCGTATTCAACATTTGAAAAAAAATTACGGGAAATTGTACGAAATTTGTGAATTAGTTAACAAAAATTTTGGACTGTCTTTAATATCGATTTTGACTCAGTGCTTCGTTGATTTTACATTCAATTGCTACTGGGGATTTTTGTACCTAGAAGATGCATCAGCTGAATCCACAAGAATAATCATCTGTATTGGACTTTTGATGCCGTGTATTATGCTATCGAGCGCTCTCACTTTCTATTGTTCTTCATGTTATGAGCACGTAAGAAATTCCAAGAAATATCATTCAGTAATTGAGAATGGATTTTTTTTTCTTCCAAGGCACGTATAATTGAACAAAGCCTGCATCGAATTCCCTTTGATGAAAGAAATGACATTCAAAATGACCTTGTTCGCGAATTTTCGATGCAGGTGCATCATGGACGATTTTTTATCTCAGCAAATGGATTTTTTAATATAAACCTGGAACTATTAGGATCTGTGAGTGTAATTGGGCTAAATTCATTCTCATTTTAAGCAACACATTTATCCAAATCTATTTAAGATATATTGTATTCCTTACATTTTTCAGATGCTAGTCGCTTCTATAACTTATCTTGTCATACTAATTCAGTTCGAGCTTTCTAACAAGGAATTTCAAGTGATGAACATGGAAAGCCAAAATCTTTCATAAAATTTGCTTCACTTTGAAAAAAATATTAAATTGAATTTACTAGATATCTAATAACACATTAGTGGAACATTTAGTCATTAGTATGTAGAATATTAACTGTTACTAAATCGTAATTATAAATTACCTATATTTTATTATCTATAATTATTCAAACACCAAGTAATGAAAAAAAAGAAAAAAAAAAAATGAATATAAAGTGCACCAAACTGAATATGGATTTCAGTTTCAGCAAAGAATCATCACTTTATTTCCTAAAAACTATCTAACTGGATTAATACGGTTAAATTTATGATGAACGCACCAACCACCACATAAATGAATGACGAAAATATCTTTTCTTATCAAAACATTCAATACATCTTGAAAAAGAAGACATTGTTTCTCAGAGAAATATACATGAGGAGGAGCTCTTAGAGGGACCAGAAGAGCAATAATTTCACAATGATAAAAAAATGTCATGGCTATAAATATTGGGTGTATCGATTAATTTTAAAGGATTGATAAGATATGGCGTAACTTGAAATTGTGTGTAGCTTGACAGGTGAATCCAATTGAATTTTATACATATGACATTTGTCAATCTAATTCAGAGCAGAAAGATTTATTTTCGACACAGTGTCATTATTTTCTGATCGATTCAAAATGAGTGATGAAAATGTGTTTTTCTGTCTGGCCCTCCTTTGGTTCAATTTTTTCACTTTAAATAAAGTGAAAATACATCTAAAGGTTATAAAATGTTGCAGGAGACGAGACCTCTCAATCGCCACAGAGAATGTTGAATTTGGTGAAAAAGAAGTGGTGAATTTGTTGAAAAACTGTGAACTCACCAAAAAAAATTGAATGATGGGCTATTGGCGTTTTTTATTCGATAAAGATGCATGAATATGCATCAGAAAACATCAGAAGCATTAAATATATGTGAATCAATCATTTTAAGACATTTATAATGAGGTAAGACCAAAGAAATTGTGTGCCACACCAGCTGAATCCAAAACTAGTTGTAAGACGTTTTTTCAAATTTTGCCACAATGTTCCAAAAATAGGAAAGAAAGGAATTTTTGTATCGTATTGTAACTGGAAGTGAAGAGGGCATCTGCTACGATAACCCCAGGCATAAAAATAAGGGTTGAATCCCACACAATCATCAAAATCTACAGCATAGCAGGATTTTGATGATTTCTCGGTAATGCTCATTATTTGGTGGGGATAAGGTGGTTTGGTGTATAATGAGCTGCTGAAACAGGGTGAAACAGTCACGGGGAATCGGCATCGATTACAACCAATACGTTTGAGCGGAGTACTGAGAGAAAAATTGAAAAAAACTGCGACAAGAAATAGTCGAAGGATTTATCAAAATTTGACATATTTCAAACATCGCAAAAAAAAGATAGAGGACTCTGGTCGGGATGAGCTTGATCAACCCGCGTACTCTCCAGACCTGGCTCCTTCTGATTACCACTTGTCCCGATCGATGAAAATCAGCCTGTTCGATGAACACATTCAAAATTATGAAAAAGCGCGAAATTGGATCGATGAATGGATAGC